AAAATGTAGCTCAAACATTGCCTTAATGTACACTATTAATGTAAAACTAGTTTAATCCTATTTACAATTATCAACATGACATAAAATTTATGTTTCAGTTTCCATCTCATTCTTTCTCCACTTTATTCGTTACAAATAATATAATAATTCTAAACTACTTTTTCCGCCGTGTTTTTGTTAAACTACTCTCATTTTGTACATTTTCCATCAATCCGAAAGACCTTACCCATGTAACTATAAAACTTTTTCTTTAACATCTCTAGCAATATATATAAAAATAAATAAATAAATAAATATTTGTATACTCATAGCTCCTACTTAAATAGTCTCGTTAATCCAGAACCGACATTGTTTCTATTTTTAAACAAAATACAGTTGGATCCGTTTGATTGCAAAAATAATATTTGGATGGAAAGAAAACGAATTTCAGATAATTGAATTGTCCAAAACTTGTTTTACTGGAAATTGCTAATTAAATGTGTTTGATTGGTATAATTTTTCACCTGAAAAATGTTAAAATTTTGAATATTTTGGTGTTTGTCTGACTTTATTTTTCATGAAAATTGTCAATTAAAGGGATAAAATTTGTTACAATTATGGATAGAATTTATTTCCATTACAAAAAAAATTATTATTATTATTTTTTTTAAAATAAGAAGAACATGGAAAACCCAATTCCCATCAAAACCAAAGGAATTGGAATTCTTTAAAAAGCAAGAAAACAAGGTCACATGGGGGTTTCTACGAAACTTTTGGCTATCAAACAAGACAAAATGGGTGAAAAATGGAATTCCATGGAATTAGATTGTATCAAACAGGCCCTTAGATTTGCTCATTTTACCCAGCTAGTGAAAATATGTAAATGGAATTAAAAATTCTGAAATTTATGAGACATTTACGTGATTCAAAAGTTGTGATTACCTGAAATGTGTGATTAAAATTAATTATTAACTTTAACTTAAATTTTTATCAACTTTTAAAGTTAAACAAAGCATAGTTTAATCAATGTGGATAAGAAATTTGAGCCGCAGATCGGATATGATTGCTATCTTTAGGCGGGGACGATGGATTCCAATAAATAGGCATTTTTGGGAAATAGTAATCGATTAACTTTAGTAATTATTAGAACAAATAATTCAGTAACGACTAGTATGCTATGATATTAAACGATAATAAATAATATACGTGAAACTATATTCTAGCTCCTTTATTGTGTTACCAAATGTGTCATCAAACTATTGCCCTTCAATTGAACTAATGTTTCACAGTTGACTAGCAATTAGAGTATTTGAATTATCTTCATCGAGTTGATGTGCTACGAGTCGACTCTTTAAGTCTCGCAGTAGTACATTTTTTATTTTTTTTTGCCTCTGTTGTAGTAGTCTCACTCCCTTCAACTACCTTCCGCCTTCTCTGACACGAGTCTAGACATGACCCCATAAATCTTACTACTATGTAAACAATGAACACATCCCTATGTTGCACTTGATGTCAAAGGTGTTCGCCTGTTCGCAATGCACAACAATATTGATGATCTCAACTCCGTTGGACTAGCTTGCTCGCATGCTCATGTGCAACAAGCGGTCCTTTTGTGCATATTCAATGGAAAATACATCTCTCAAGTCCAGCTAAAACATTGAGAATCATTCGCATGCCCTACAACCTATCTCGTGCTTGTCACTTTTTCCGGACTTATTAGCTCATTGTATGCCGCAGTGCCCTTCATCATTGCCTCACCAAAGTAGGGCTATTCGTTAATTCATGGCTAATAGGATTGCCTTCAAACCACACTCGTTCTCACGAATATAAGCACCTTGCCTTATATGTCCAAATATACAATGTCACCCCCATGATTGACCAATGGACTTTGTGGCAAGGCTAGAACCATAGTTATAAAACTCGGTCCGATCTAGCCTAGGCCTTTGATTGGGTTGGGTAGAATAATTTTACAGAAATGCAAATGACTCCTATCAAAAATCGAGTTTGATTGAATTAACCCGTCAATTGACAGAGTTAACTATTGATTTATATATTAAATTGGCTTGTCTGATTTGACCAAATTTTAAAAAGATTCCTTAAATTTTTGGTGTTCAAAAGAATTGAAACTTGGACTTTAAGGTAAGATGAGTAGTACATAACCATTAGAAAATAGCGCGCGCAAATCATTTATAGTTGTTAAAAATATTTAAAAAAATTTAGCACTAATTTTAATTAAAATGAATCGAATATTTAACAACATAATCTAAAATTAATTAATGACAAATAATTTAAAAATTTTAAGAATTATTCTACATATACATTAGGATATACATAATGTCCAAGTAACATTTCATCATTAGTTCGGTGAAAAAACAAATTTTCAGCTTCAACGAATACACGATCCTTGGATATTGCCCTCACAATATATTATGACAATGCCACTGTTTGAAGTTATTGCCTTCAATCCTACATTTCCTTATCAAACGAACTTTGATTATCATCTTCTCTGTGCCACGCTTAGACGAGCTCTTCGTATAGCGGTGTCCCAAATTCAATTGATAAGGTTCGCTACTCATCGCATTAACTTCCCGCCATTATGCCTAACTATAAATTCATGTCAAACAAACTTTGGGTCATGCTAAATTGTGATCCGTAACTATAGATGACTATTTATTACAGAGGCCTTGTTTAAGCACATTTTTTACAACTCATTTTAAATTCAAAATATTTTAATTCACAGGTTTTTAAAATAATGTAAACTCAACATTTTTTTCCTATTTTCAACCATACATTCTAAAAAAAGAAAAAAGAAAAAAAGAAAAAAAGCAATTTTGTGAAGTCTGTTTTCAAAATTTTTTTTGCTCAAACAGAGGCTGGAGAAATTAGAGTTAATATAGGCCATGTTCTGTCGGGGATCAAAATAAGATTTTTAGCGTGCGTTGATAAAAGTCTGTGAAATGTATGATTGAAAAATTATTAACCACATGGAATATATAATTAAAATAAATATTTAACTTTGATTTATTAAACCCCTACCCAACAAGGATATTTTAAAAAGATGGATAAATTAAATATACACCGTCGGATTGGAATTTTCATGCTTCTGTCAAGAATATCTTCCACGCACAGATTTCACAGGCTTTATCTGAAAGGATATATATCCACCGGATCCTGACCCGGACCCAGCAGGAGTACTAGTCTAGTCTAGCGACTCTAACAACTACCTCGTCTGGGCCATGCCTTAAAATCCGGCAGTGGCAATCTCGTTAATTATGAAAAAGTTCAATGGCGGAATCGTCAACTTAAACCTTCAAATAGCTTACATGCAAAGCAAAATTGCCACGTGGAGTAGGTGAGGACAAATGTCTGGTCGTTCTGCCACCACTACAGAACTGAGTCCGAAACGCCGCAACACGTTGTCCCTAAAATACTCTACGCTCTTGTTTGTTTCCATTATCTTCAAAATACCCTTTTTTTTCTTATTTTTAATCACAACAAATACATTTTTTTAATATTTAACCACACATTTTTTTATCAAAATATTATTCCGAAAAATATTTTTGACAAGAAAATAGGACTCAAACCTTCTCTACATTTGATTAATAAAAAGAGAAAATAAATTAACAAATAATACATAATTTGAGTGTATATTCATACCGACTACGTATTAAACAAGAATTGATATGATTTGATTCGAACAATCAAGTATCGGCTCGATGTATAGTGATGGAATCCATGGAATCCAACTGATTATTTTATACTTTAAAAATAATTTTTTAAATCAAAATTGTTATTTAAATTTGAAATATATTACTAGTATATAATGTAATGTTATCTCTCGTCCCACATTAGATAAATTATATTTATTTGAAGTTAAGAAAATAACTAATACAACAGCGTTTATATCAGAGGAGCAAATTCCACCCGAGAGGTTGAACGAAGGCGGACCCCACCAGTGGCTCACATGCGAAACAAGTGAAGGTGTCAGAGGTGGACCCACCACCACTGCAAAACCCTCACCCCACATTACCTGGCTACAACTCTGCATATACTTTTCAACTTTTCTGACGTGGCGCGTACAAACACGCGCCGTTATTGCCCCTCCCCCACCACACCACACAGATTTGTGTGTGTTTGAATAATTATGGAAAGTTTGCACCATCGTCCTTAATCTTTTGCCTCCATACCAAAATTGTTACTCTAAATTTTCTGGAATTGAAACGAAATCCATCCTCATAAATTAGACATTCAAATATCACGCGACAATATAATACAGTATTAAAAAAATAATACTATTTATAGTAGCTCACTATAGCAGTCGTCATACGTGACATACATATAAACGAAGAAATTCAAGTGACGTAGGCGACTACTCTTCATAAGGCCACTATTCATCTTGGTACGATACAAGCGATAGACGAGAGTCGATCGAAGATCGTAGACAGCAA